ATATTGAGACGTTCACACACCTGCAGGCCGGTTTGAGTCACCAGTTGACCTCTCCCGCATGTACTTAGACTTATGTTATTTTACATACTTCATCTTATATCACATTGTATAGTGTGGTACCAGAGACAACCGACTAGAACCACCATCACATAGAACCACCATCACATAGAACCACCATCAGATACAACCACCATCACATAGAACCACCATCACATAGAACCACCATCAGATACAACCACCATCAGATAGATCCACCATCAGATACAACCACCATCACATAGAACCACCATCACATAGAACCACCATCACATAGAACCACCATCACATAGAACCACCATCAGATAGAACCACCATCAGATACAACCACCATCAGATAGAACCACCATCACATAGAACCACCATCACATAGAACCACCATCAGATAGATCCACCATCACATACAACCACCATCACATAGAACCACCATCACATAGAACCACCATCACATAGAACCACCATCAGATAGAACCACCATCAGATAGAACCATCAGATAGAACCACCATCACATAGAACCACCATCACATAGAACCACCATCACATAGAACCACCATCAGATACAACCACCATCACATAGAACCACCATCAAATAGAACCACCATTAGATAGAACCACCATCAGATACAACCACCATCCGATAGAACCACCATCACATAGAACCACCATCACATAGAACCACCATCACATAGAACCACCATCACATAGAACCACAGAAGCCTGTGGATGGTGGGTTTGAAGCCTCAAAGCTAATACAGCAGTGATATGATCCCTTTTCTTAGTTCTTGTTAATACACGTGCTGCAGCATTCTGAATCAACTGGAGAGGCTTAAGAGATTTACAAGAGCAGCCTGATAACAAAGAATTACTGTAGTCCAGTCTGGAAGTAACAAACACATGAAGTAATTTTTCATCACTTTGAGACAGGAAGTTCCTGATTTTCGATATATTATGTAGATGAAAATAGGCAGTCCTTGAAGTCTTCTTTATATGAGAGCTGAAGGACATATCCTGGTCCAAGAGAAGTCCAAGATTCTTCACGGTGCTGCTGGATACCAGAGCAACTCCATCCATAAAAACACGTTCAAGAGCTTTGGACAAAAAGGGAAGAAGAGAGACCGGTCTGTAGTTTCCTCCGAAGGGTTGAGGGTGGGTTTCTTCAGGAGAAGGTTGACTCTCCTTCAGAGAGTTGGGAAAACAGCCAGATAACAAAGCATTGTTAATGAGACAGGTGAGGAAAGGAAGAAGGTCAGGAGCGATAGATTGGGGCCAAGAGGGCAGGTGGTCGGATGGGCAGAGGGTTAGGTGAGAACTTGTACATGTACATTTTATGTAGTCTTCATTTAGGTGTTTACAATAGTCATTTACAGTTGAAAGGATTGTACATGTAGTTCTTCAAGTAAAGTGTAGCAAACCGCAGTCAACTTTAATTAAATTAAACTCAATTTCCCAACAACAAAAATTGTGGCAAATGGAATTGCTGAGTGGCTGGTAACTTTGGAAAACCACTAGCCATGGTTTTTATATAAAAATGTTTTTATATATATATATATATATATATATATATATATATATATATATATATATATATATATATATATATATATATACAGATGTGTATGTCTATACCTGTGAAAAAGAGGATCTGCATACTTCAGAGTAAAGTGCAGCAGAACCCTGATGCAAAGTCTGCAGGTTTCTACCTGTGCAGGTTATGTCAGAGTTAAGCCCGCCCTTCTACCTGGTGAGTGGGCGGAGTCTGAGGTGAGTGAGAAAGAGCCGGCAAGTGTCGTCGCTCTGAGGAGCCTCTCGAATATCCTCTTGATTTCCAGGAAGCCTTTTAAGCCTTGAACTTGAAACTTTGACGGCAGAAAGTGAGAAAAGTGTAACAGAAAGGTGAGTCCCTGCTATATGTTGTACTTCTGGAGTAAGAGTTACGTACTGGTGTGTACTGCGTGTGTACTGCGTGTGAACTGCGCGTGTACTGCGTGTGCTGGGACACAGGTCTCTCGTGTGAAAAAAATCCAATTGCGCAATATTTCAGTTAGAAAACCTAATCTATAGAAGTGGTGGCGAATGAGCATTAGCATTAGCTTTAGCGTTAGCTTTATCTGCAGGAGGAGCTCACTGTAGTTTGACTTGTTCTGACAGGAAGAAACCAAACTCTTATATTGTATGTTACAGAAGTGGTCTTCTGTAACAACTCACTATAAACTATATTTAAACTATTATCTGTGTAAAAACTTTAGTACTAGTGCAATGTTACCGAGTACTGAACTGGAGTACTTGCATTTGTACACGATTTTTGTGCAGGATCACAGCTGATCAGCAGAAAATTATTCACGATTTTCTTTAATAGAATGCTTTATTGTACTTTTGAGTATTTCCTTTCTGTGCTACTCTCTTTTTGTACTATCGCAGAGGTACATATTGTACTTTACTGTACTACACCAGTAGAGTGAACAAACGGCCTTAGGGAATGGTAAATGCCTATTGCTCAAGATCTTATTTGGACAATCAGTCCTCCCTGTTCAAGGAGGAAAACTATGAAACTGTCTACCAACACAATGCAACACAATTTTAATGTTTTTAAAAGAGGCATTAAATCATGGTTCAAAGAGAAGCAGCATGGTTCACAAACCTAGCAATCTGGGGGTGCACTTGTACTGTGTGTATGCGTTTATAGGTGTACTGGATGTATCTTCTTGTTCTGTTTAAAACCCCCAAAAATGTATTATTTGATATATATATATATATCATTTTTATTAGTATACACTGTGCATCTGGTTATCGTGCATAATTGTATGTCACAATTCTAATGCTACGTTCACACCAAACGCGATGCAAGTGTTTCTAGCTAGAAGATTACATAGAAAGTCTATGCACAGATGGGATGGAGACTGTTTGGCAACAAAGTTGATGCAATTCCAGGCAAAGTCGAGTCAAACGCAGCAAACATGAAAGTTGAAATATTTAAACTTCAGGGACAAATGGCGTGACGCAATGGTGCGCTAGCCTATCAGCGTCCTGCAGACAGCGGTACCCCACGCTGTACGATACATCCTCATACTTAACGCTAATATTGCCACCATTCCGGGAAAGACCAATATGTGCCTTTTTTACAACGTCCCATCACATATATAGAAAATTCACCCAGCTGTCTGCGCCTACGGATTAGTGTCCACGGGTGTACCGGTACTAGAACGCACGCGCGGTATCTTGACGTGGAAAACAATACGTTTTTTAAGTTTTTGAGTACCGGTACTTCATTAAAAGGTACGAAATCAGAGTGCACTCACTCACTAGTAGGGTTATCAGGGTAGACGTGTCCTCATGCAGCAGACTGCAGATAAATACATACATGTACACGTAGCAAACTGCAGATAAATACATACATGTAACATGCACACGCAGCAGACTGCAGATAAATACATACATGTAACATGTACACGTAGCAGACCGCAGATAAATACATACATGTAACATGCACACGTAGGAGACTGCAGATAAATACATACATGTACACGTAGCAGACTGCAGATAAATACATACATGTAACATGCACACGCAGCAGACTGCAGATAAATACATACATGTAACATGTACACGTAGCAGACTGCAGATAAATACACACATGTAACATGTACACGCAGCAGACTGCAGATAAATACATACATGTAATATGTACACACAGCAGACTGCAGATAAATACATACATGTAACATGTACACGCAGCAGACTGCAGATAAATACATACATGTAACATGTACACGTAGCAGACTGCGATGGAAAGCTTTCCATCGACACACAGACCCGTCTGTAAAACCGGCTACGCACCTTTCAGACAGACACTGCAAACCTTCCAGAGAGTTCAAAGAACGACAGGTTGGCAAATGTGATTATAAGCATTAACACCCACATACAGCCCAACACGAGTAGCTTAGCCTGGTTTAGCTCGGCTGACCAGACGTCCTCTTTTACCCGGACACATTTTTTAGGTCTGGAAAAGAGGAAATGTCCGGGTAAAAGAGGACGTCTGCTTTGTCTGGTGTTGCACTTGCTTGATGTTTGACTGTGTTTGGAAAATTGTTGACTTGCTAGTTTGTTATAAACAAAGTAAGCGAACGGGTTTCGCTTAGTTAACCGCTAGCAAGACATCTTGTTAGCGATGTTAGCTTGTTATAACACGCTTGGACATTGATGCTAGTATTGAGCGCTCTCGCGTCGGCTTCTTGTTGCTTCACCAGCTCTGTAGCTCATGTTATTGTGAGCTACAGAGCTGCCAACGTTTCACTAAACCTTGGAGTGAGATGTTGTTGGGGGTGATGTCACGGCCGACAGGGGGGTGTAAGTTACGCTACGTGCAGCGAATAGCGTTACAGATGTTGTACAGATGCGCCGTTTACCGTCGGCGAGGTTGGAGATGAACCAGCACAGGGGTTTTTTTGCGTAATAAATTGGATGTGTGGCGTGAGTGAACTTTCCTAACAGGCAAACATCAAGCAAGTGCAACACAAGACAAAGCAAGACCGCAAATAAGTTACTGAATAGTCCAGCAGAAATATTAACATGCAAAATAACCTACGATTTCACTCATGTGGGCCGATATGATCATGAGGTCAGAATGCACACAAATCTGTACCAAATAATACACACCTGATGCAATAGGCTACATGCTGGTGGATCTTGACCTTTTTAATTTCAGTTAAGGAAAAATAATGATTCCATGAATTGAGAAATATGAATGTGAGAATATCAAACTCTACAGTATATGCAAGTAAGTGAAGCATTGTTTATCCCAGTCAAACAGAGGTAAAAAATGGAACCTTACAGATGTTTTATTTATTACATCACATTACATTACATTTAGCTGACGCTTTTATCCAAGTGCATTCAACCATAGGGACACAAACTCAGAAGAACAAGAAACAAGAAAGTGCAATTTCCTCAAATAAGCCAATTTACAATTTGCTATAGACGAGTGGCGTTATAAGTACAATTTAAGTGCTACAATTTGTTAGTCTTTTAGTCGAGGTAGAGTCTGCAGAGATTTGTGGTATTGTAAGTATCAAGTACCGTAATATTTTGGCAGGTATAATATCAAAGTCATAATTTTGGTATCGTGACAACCCTACTACGGATGCTATCTAGTACAAAATCACAACGCCCTTTGATGGGCCGACATGAGTAGAACTTCCACAACAGGTACAGAGTTGGTTTGTCTTCCGTGGTTGATGCAGAGGATAAACTATTACTACTAGTTCAACTGTTTCAGGATGATAAGCCACACTCCCTCTCCGGCGCGTTTAGCGCGAATGACGGGTTCACGTGACTTGACCAGAAATGATCCCCCGAGAATCCTGCGGCGTGTTTAGAGCGTTTGAGGCGACACAAAACATTTGCTTGATGTGAACGCAGCATAATGCCGCTGTGATGTCCCAAAAAGTATCCATAGTTATTTTACTGTACTACATGTGGTACACAGAGTACTTTGAATGTTCTACACCAGGGGTGTCAAACTCATTTTAGATTCATTAATCTCACGTGGGCCAGACCGTTAAAAATCAACAGCGCTGCAACGAATCGTTATACAAAAAAACACAACATGTCTCCCGTCTGTCAGAAGCAATCGCGCATGTGTGGGAACCTGACATGATTCTTTTTCTTTCTTCAATGATGGATCGACCGGCACTGCGTTGGTGAACAACCGCGTCCCCCTGGTACGACCCCCAGTGGACTTTTTAGGAATAGCAGCTACTTTTATAGAAATGCAATTTATGTCTTTCTGTAATCCTCACAATAGCAAAGTCATCTGGCGGGCTACACTGAACCCCCCCGGCGGGCCTTGAGTTTGAGACTTGTGTTGTGTTTTACACTGTAGTAGTTTTTACCACTAACAAGATGCTAATATTACGTTACTCCAAATATTGAACTATTGACGCTATTTCGGACTTCCAGGAAGCTAATGATCTGATGAGACATTTGATCCCTCACCTTCAGAGTCACCTTTTCACCTACCAAAGGGGGGTTGGCCCTGAACCATCACCATGGCAACATCTCCCTCCATGCTCGGTAGAGGTGAGTCCTGTTTTTATTGTCGTTAGTGTTGAGTTTGCATTAGCATTAGCATCTTGGACCCAATATGACCGTTTTATTTCATCATTCCCTCTGATCCTCCGGTCCAGGTTCTATTGGTCTGGGTCTGGTCTTGGTGGAGTTTGACTATGAGTACCAGGGGCGGGACGGTACCACAATCTCCATCAAACCCAACGAGCGCTACGTCCTGCTGGCTAAGACAAACAACCACTGGTGGCAGGTGCAGAGGGACCAGAGCTCCAAGTCATTTTACATCCCTGCCAAGTACGTCAAAGAGCTGCCGACTGAGTTCCACTCACCTCTAGACTTTGACCCACCTGGTTCTGAACCGGTGCTGCTTCCTGTGGCGGTTCCTGTAGCGGTTCCTGTGGCGGTTCCTGTGGCGGTTCCGGTCCCTGTGCCGAAGACTCTGGAGGAGTCCAGAACCCAACCGGGAGATGACGTGATGATCCGAGTCAGAACTGACGCCACCAAACGATACCGCAAGACTGAGAACCGCATGTCCACTTTTGGGTTCCCGCTCGACTCTCCTGACACGTCTTCTTTGTCAGCACCGCGGCATTCCAGCAACCCCCTTGCTGGTGCTGCCGAAACCGGGACTACAAACATGGCTGACAAGAAGCACCTTCCGGGGTTTGCAGAGGATCACAGAGACTCTGACAAACATCGAGCTCCCAGTTTCAGTCCAGCAGACCCTGTGTCCTCACCTAGAAACCAGACCCAGCCCATTGCCGTGGAGATGCCGGTAGTCCCGGTGACCCACCCACACTACGACTCCTCCTTGCCATCCACAGGTCGCCGTGACAACCGGGAGTCCTCGACAGAGGAGGAGCTTTGTGTGGAGGAGAGCAGCAGTGAAGAGGATCCTGTAAAGGAGGAGGATTCAAACCACATCTATGAATCCATACAGGACCTTAACCTGGACCTGGAGGCTCTGGTGGGAGGAAGTCCTGCAGCTCCCCATTCACCGGACCTGCCCCCTTCACACGTAGGTGTCCCATTTAGGCAACTATGGCTCTGATGCTTCGGTAAGAGTTTTCTGTAATGACGAGTGCACGGTCATCATCATGGGACCAGCAGGTGCAGGTGTTCCATTGGACCTTCAGGGCCTTTTCTGCATCATGGTAGTTGGGAGTTTTTGTTCGACAGAATAGAGTAGAAAAATTAGTAAATTTAAATGACATCAATTTTTAAAATCTAATTATTGACCTTTTTTTAAAACGGGGGGTGTCATGCTCTGTGGGTCTGGTGATGTCACAGCAGGATGTGAGACGTCAGGGTTGGACAGGAACACAATACATCAGGATCCAGAGCTGCAGCTAACAACATGAAACCGCTTCAGTTGCTGATGGATCACAAAATGTTGTGCTTGACGTTGGATAGAATTTGACACGGCAGACAAACAGAGAATAGCATTCTGGATCAGTCCTCAAGTCCTGATCTAAACTTTTGGTGGCTGGTATCAAAATAAATAATAAAGGTTGTGGATCCTTTAAATAGCGACGTGCTCAGGTTAGTTTGACCTCTGACCTTTGACCTCAGGCACTCAGAGGAGATTATCTCAATATGTATCTTATGCTGTATTGAAACAGGTTTAAAACAGAAACACTGATAATGATGTTCATGGGAATGATTCAGATACAGGTGCACGGATCACGTTTGAGACTGAAATGTTCTAACTGTTACAATTAATATTAATCAGAATGGTAATACTAATAATGTTGATAATAATAGTATTAATCACTTTATTAATAATAATAAGATTAATAATGGCCAGGACAATGATAATAATATTCATGTTGGTGACAATGTTTTTATAACTTCTTCTCGTCTCAGTTAATCTTCAGTGTCAAAGCATAAAATAATACTCAACATAAAGAAAAGAAAGAGAAAGTCTTTGTCCGCTTTTGTTTACTGCTGTCTATGTGTATGTTGGTGAATGTGTGTTCAAAAATGAAAGGAGGACGTCCTTCCTCAGAAATAGACTGTTGTTCTTCATGAGGAGAGAGAAAATCATCACCATCATGATTCTGTTGATCAATTGATTTATTTATCAGTTGTATAATTGATCTTCTGATGCCTGTAAATTCTCTCTCTGAAGAATGTTGACTTGCACCAGAAGTCGCCCATCTACGCCAACATCTCCTCCATGAAGAAAACAAACCTCCCCCAGGTCTCCATATCTGGCCCCGTCCTGCCCTCGTCACCTCCTCCTGACCCGGCCCCCTCCATCCCCGGCCGCACCCCGTCCTCCTCCGCCTCCTCCGGTATGATAAGCCCCGCCTCCCCCCTCAGCCCACAGGACGGCTGGCAGGTAAAGTGACCTCTGCTAGCTTTAAAGAACGTATGTGAACTCAGGGTGTGTACAGCTAAAGGTGTCAAGTAATTAGTTCTGTCACATTGTCATAGATTACATAAAGAAGACATTCAGGACTCATAAATTGAATTTAAGCAATAAATAGATTTATGAAATAAATAGGGAAAACTATACATATACAGTAGTACAGTATATATAAATATGTATACTGTATACTATTGATCATATATATATATATATGACTAATAATAGTGTTGACATTTTGGGAAAGAAACTATCAACGTTACTCTGCGATGTTCCAACCAGGTCCACACCGACCGGGACAGTGGGCAAGAGTTCTACTTCCACCCAGTAACCAGACGGACCACCTGGTCCAACCCCCAAGGCCCCCCTCCCGCGCTGGATGAAGAGTTGGACCGGTCCAAGCCGAGCGACGGGGGTCAGCGAACCTCCCCCCTGCTCTCATCTCAGGTACCTTGTTGTTGTTATTAATATTGTCTTACTGTTGTTGTGAAGTAACACCTGCTGCTTCCTGTCAGAGTTCTGCTGGTTGGCAGCAGCTGGTGGACAAAGCCTCCGGGAGGGTCTACTACCACGACCCCTCCTCGGGAACCACGTCGTGGGCCCCCCCGGAACCACCACCTGCCCCGCTCCCAGGAGCCCCAGCTGACAGCCCGGTACGACTCTGCGTCCGCATTCTGTCCGGACTTAAATGACACAAAACGCGTTGTCATGACAATAATAATAACCAAATCAATACTAATGGAGAACAGTTGTGATTATAATATTACCATTTATCACTTCTTTCTTTATTTCGGCTGATAACTGAAGCCTCCGCTGCCTGACGAAGATTATCCACCTCAAGTACAGCATGACAACAACGAGGTCTTCACAACGGTGAAACACACACACACAGACACACACAGACCCACACAAAGACAGACAGACACGTTTTACAATGTGAAGCCATCACTAACATTGCGGGTGCCTGTTTTTCCCAGAATCCTCAGCAGCTCGTGTGTTTGATTCCCAGAGCTCAGCTGGACTCGAGAGATGAAATCAGCCCACAGGAGGTAAAGAACCAGCTCGTGCTGTTTGACTCTAATCAATATATTAATGCATTGATTCTTCTAGGTATCTCCTTTGCCCCAACGGATGATGGGAAATGGAGTTTCTGAGGAGGAAACAACTTTAGAGGGGAAATACTGGACACACACCGTCGTTGAAGAGGTGATTCTCACCGACATTACAACAGATAATAATCAGATGAATAGACTTCACAGATAATAACTTGACATTGCTACATGACAACTTGGGCTAATAGATAATAACTTTTATTGATTGACAATGTACTAATATTTTAATAATAATAACTTGTGCTACAGACCTTTATTCACGGCCACAGGAGGAATGCCTCTGAGGTCATGGAGATGTCCAATAGGAAACCGTCCCCCGACAGTCCTCAGGTACACGATGTGGTTAGGCCCCTCCCCTGTCCTTCATTCATTATTCATCCATTCGTTATACATTCATCATTCATTCACCAATGAATTCAATTTTTACCATTATTATTCATCTTTTACCATTCATCATTGATTTATCCATGCATTATTCACCCAGTCATTATTTTTTCATTCATCATCCATTTTTTATCATTGATTGATTGATTGATTGATCCATCCATCCAGTCATCCATTGATTCATCCTGTTCTCCATCAAGCTCTCCCATCGACACAAAGTGAAGAGGAACCTCTCAGACCGGAGTTCAGGTTCCCAGCAGCATCATGTAGGTCCTGCGTCCTGATTGGTTGCTGAAGTTGTTGCCGTTTGATTGGAGGAGGGATCAACTGAGATGGAAACGTGTTTTTTCCTGACTGGGACACACAGGTTTAATTTCTAAAGAAACTAACTACACATTAATGATCAACATACTAACTACATATTATTATCAACTACACATCGATGATCAACATACTAACTACATATTATTATCAACTACACATCGATGATCAACATACTAACTACATATTATTATCAACTACACATTAATGATCAACATACTAACTACATATTATTATCAACTACACATCGATGATCAACATACTAACTACATATTATTATCAACTACACATTAATGATCAACATACTAACTACATATTATTATCAACTACACATCGATGATCAACATACTAACTACATATTATTATCAACTACACATTAATGATCAACATACTAACTACATATTATTATCAACTACACATCGATGATCAACATACTAACTACATATTATTATCAACTACACATTAATGATCAACATACTAACTACATATTATTATCAACTACACATCGATGATCAACATACCAACTACATATTATTATCAACTACACATCGATGATCAACATACTAACTACATATTATTATCAACTACACATCGATGATCAACATACTAACTACATATTATTATCAACTACAGATCGATGATCAACATACCAACTACATATTATTATCAACTACACATCGATGATCAACATACTAACTACATATTATTATCAACTACACATCGATGATCAACATACTAACTACATATTATTATCAACTACACATCGATGATCAACATACTAACTACATATTATTATCAACTACACATTAATGATCAACATACTAACTACATATTATTATCAACTACACATCGATGATCAACATATTAACTACATATTACTATCAACTACACATCGATGATCAACATACTAACTACATATTATTATCAACTACACATCGATGATCAACATATTAACTACATATTATTATCAACTACACATCGATGATCAACATACTAACTACATATTATTATCAACTACACATCGATGATCAACATACTAACTACATATTATTATCAACATACTAATCAGATGTCTATGATGAACATAGTAACTACACACTATGATAGTCTCTATCTTAATGTCCATGTTTGGGATCACTGCTGAAGGTGCTTCTGATCATTTGTCAGTATAACAAGTTAAGTTTACATCATCAGAATTAACACCTCACCACGAGGAAGGGTTCTCATGATCGTCATAGTTCTAATGGTTCTGATGGTGCTCTTGGTTGTCGTGGTTCTGGTTCTGATGTTTCTCATGGTACTCATGGTTCTGATGGTCCTGATGGATGTCATGGTTCCCCTGGTTGTTCTTTGTTGGTTCTGCTGATAGTTCTGTTAGTGGTTCCTAACGTGAATCCCTTTCCCGTTTTATCCCTTAAAGAAGAAAGTTGCCACAATGACAAACACACACACACACACACACACACACACACACACGCAATCACCACTCCCATGTTTACACAGGAGATACATTTCCAAGTGGACCTGCAGGTTTAAAGAAACCTGAAGACTCTCGTGTCTCTCTCTTTCCGTGTGTCTGTCTCTCTGTCCCTGTCTGTCTCTCTGTCCCTCTCTGTCTACAGGGCCATCTTTTGGAGAAAGCAGGAATCATGAATAAGACCAAAGTAGTCGATCACGGTAAAAAGATCAGGTGAGATCTTTTAATTTCAACTCCTACCTTTACACTCTTCATATGTAAAACAAATTCTATATACAGTATTTATAAATATATACATTTTTATCTGCATTGCAAAGGTTTGTGGCTCGTAATAATCTGATGCAGCAGAACATCCTGGTACTTGTAATCAGACACAACGTTTCCATCATATCATTGACATTATAGATGTGATCCCTGTTGTTGTTGTTGTGTTGTCAGGAAGAACTGGAGTCAGTCCTGGACCGTCCTCCACGGTGGGATTCTCACCTTTCACAAAGACCCCAAGTCGGCTCCAACTGTGAACGCAGTACGAACCAGTAGCAATGCAATCATATACATCATTAAATTCTTCTTCTTAGGGGCAACGGATGATGATGCTGAACTGTCATAACTTTGTGTGTTCGACATGAGACATCAGCTATGTTTAGCATCATCAGTTAATGTTAGCATGCTAACACTCTAATCTCATACTTTAGCATGTTGGCATCCCGAGTCCCCCACGGACCCAGACACTACATCCCCAGGACATTTTCACGTGGATCCATCTCAATGCATATGTGTCTTGACGCACTTATCTCTTTATATTGCTAATTTTTTAACATTTCTGACTTCCTTTTCTTTTAATTATTTTATTCTATACCCTGGGAGAAAAATTCCTGTATGTGCAACATACGTGGCAATAAACAGCTTCTGATTCTGATAACTTCCTGTCTTCAGAGTAAAACGTCACAGATTGTTCCAGAGTACACCGTGGAGCTGAGAGGAGCCTCGGTGAGCCGGGCAGCCAGGGACAAGTCCTCCAAGAAGAACGTCCTTGAGGTGCGCCGCTCGCCTTGTCAACTTGCCCTGTGGTTACTCTGGTTACTATGGTTTCCAGAGTCCTCTGTGGCCTCTGCTCTCAAGTCCTCAACCTTAGTCTGGGTCCTGATCAATCATAACTTCATCATCGTCTAACTCCTAACTTCTTGATTTGTCTTTTATACACACATCCACGACGTCTTTGGTTTAATGTCTTCAAACGGTTGCTAAGCAACGCAGCGCAGGATCCTGATTGGATTAAAAACACTGGAGACAAGTGTTAATGTTTGATGTTTCAAGAAATGTCTTTTTTCATTTGGCCGAACGTTGTCAAGTCATGTGACTCATGTCCAGTCCTCTGGTTGCCGTAGTAACGGCTGTGTGTTTGTGTTCCCGTAAAGCTGAAGACTCGTCAGGGCTGCGAGTATCTGATGCAGTACGACACAGAGAGCATCATCAGTGATTGGCTGAAGGCGATGCAGGACACCATCAGACAGCTGGTAACCACAACACTGTGACATCACATGTCTGACTAATCTGGGTTCCTCAGCTGATGAGGGTGGTGTCATGTTTCTGGAGCAGGATCATGTGTCAGAGGATGAGGACGAAGCTACTTCAGACAAAGAGGACAAAGACAGGAAGAGGACAAGTGAGTCCACAGAGTAGACCTCGTAGAAACATATTCAGGCTTTGTTAAGATGTTTTTACAATATTTACTATGAGAGACACTGAAAACACGCTGTCTTCAAACCGAATCTCACATTTGAGGAATTCCAACACAGCAGAATAAAAGCTTCTGTCCATGTGGTTCATGGTCCATACATTTAGGTTTTTCAAAATATTATGAGGAAAAAGTTTACAGATTTTTTTGATGAATCTTCTTCTGTGGTGTCTTAGCGAGCAGGACATCGCCTGGGATGGTTGACTCGGAGCAACGGCATGTTCGGACCAAACTCCTGCGTTTCCTCCAGCGGAGGCCAACGTTACAGAGCGTCAAGGAGAAGGGATACATCCGAGGTAACCTGACGCTAAGAGGCTGGTGCCATGGTAACACGCCCCGGCAACATGAAATCCTCAAAGCCGTCTCTCACTTGTTGTCCAGACAGCGTCTTTGGCTGTCACCTGGATACTCTCTGTCAACGGGAGAACAACACCACCCCGAAGTTCATGGAGAAGTGTATCAGGACTGTGGAGAGGAGAGGTACACAGATACACACACACACACATACACACACACACACACACACACACACACACACTGATCAGGTGTAACTGTGTGTTTTCAGGTCTGGATGTGGACGGGATCTACAGAGTTAGTGGAAACCTGGCTGTGATCCAGAAACTGAGACATAAAGCTGATCATGGTAACTGTCTGCCCGTCTCTCCTTCTGTCTGTTCTTCTGTCCATTCTTCTCTCAATCTCTTTTTATCTGTTGACCAGTTGCCCTTGTTGTTCCTGGTGACCTTGATGACCCTGTTGACCCGCTGACATCTTCACCTTGTTGTCCTTGTTGACCTGTTTGTGGCTTGTTGAAATGGTGATCTTGTTTCCATGTTTTTGTCCCTTGTTTTGATCTGTTGCCCTTGTCAACCCTGCAGAGGAGGAGCTGGACCTGGAGGACGGACAGTGGGAGGAGATCCATGTGATCACTGGAGCTCTGAAGCTTTTCTTGAGGGAGCTTCCAGAACCGCTGTTTCCCTTCAGCTGCTTTGACAAGTTCATTGCAGCCATCCGTCAGTATACATGTGGTCCATCCAAGACTACTAAGGCCTGGGGACATCTAGACCTCTAAGACCAATAAGATATGTGGACATTTAGATCCCTAATGCTGCGTTCACACCAAAAGCGAGGCAAATTATTTGCGAAAGTAGATTCCATGCAAAGTCAATGCACAGATGCGAATGGTTGCGAAGGATACAAACATTTTCAACGGGCAGCGCAGAAGACACATAAGACGCTTTGCAAAAGAAGCAAAAATGAATTGAGCTAAAATTCCCCCGACCCTGACTTGCAGGGTTGAGTTGCTCCGCTGCTCATCACCGGCATCCTGCTGTCAAACCACAACTACTTCATGAAAAGAAGACAGGGGACGCGAATGAAGGCAAATTAACTATAACTAGTCTGGCGAGTAAACTTGCGTGAATAAAGCGCTACAAAATGTTGCTTTTGGTGTGAACGCAGCATAAGACCATCAAGGCCTTCGGACCAGTGGTCCGCAACCTTTTTTGCCTCACGGACCGTTTTTATGTTAGACAATATTTCGCAAAAAAAAGTATTACGACAAAGAGAAAAGGATTTTTTTTGTGTTGTGCTACCGGTCCACGGCCCGATGGTTGGGGACCTCTGATCTAGACCACTAAGACCTGTAAGACCAGTGAACATCTAGACCAGTAAGACCACTAAGACCAGGGGACATTTAAACAAGTAACACCAGTAAGACCAGTACGACCAGTGAGCTCAGTAAGACCAATTGCTTGTGTCCCTGCAGAGGTCCAGGACTACAGCCTGAGAGTCTCTTACATGAAGGACCTGGTCCGATCCCTACCGCTGCCAAACCACGACACCATGGAGCTGCTGTTCAAACACCTGCGCAGGTGAGCAGCGCTGACATCTCACCTGCGGACGTGTTGATGATGACCTGGGGTGTTTTGGAGTGGGAGCCTTTCACTCATGTACCTGGGTTCTTCTGATCTGGACCAGGTCTCCTGATACTGAGAGTCTAACAGGTATCTCTCTCTCTCTCTCTTCAGGGTGGTCGAGCATAAAGAGTCCAACAGGATGTCTGTTCAGAGTGTCGCTATTGTATTTGGCCCCACGTTGCTCCGCCCCCAGACCGAGTCCTCCAGCATGACAATCCACATGGTGTTCCAGAGTCAGATAGTTGAGCTCATGCTCAACGAGTTCCAAACTGTCTTTTCAGAGAGCTAGGGTAAGCTCCTCTGGAACATCCTGGAACTTTTCTGAACCTCCTGGGGCTCCTTTGGAGCCTTCTGGAGCTCTTCTGGAAATTCCTGGATGTCCGGTGGAACCCTCCTCTTAACCATTTGAACCGTCCTGCAAGCCCCCCAAATATCAAGACATTTGCTGAGGTTTTCCAAAGATTTTGAAGCTGGTGATCATCTCCTTTCAGACCCAGTACTCCGAGGATGGAACTTGAAACCCTGCTGACTACATGAGGCCTCTTTCTAACGGCTGTGCCTTAAATTATAAAACGTAAAACTTGAGTGGAACCACCTAGAACCCTGATGTTCTGAAAGCAGTCTGGCTCCTGTTTTTAAACCCAGTAAAACATATTTACATTTCACTTTGTTGGAAGATCTTGCCAAGAATGTTTTAGATCTTTGGGACCTAAATTCAAGACGGGGTTTACCAGGTTCCTCTCTCCCTACCTTCTGCACCTGAAACGGTCCTAGTAGGACCTGAGCGGAACCATCTACATTGGACTCATTTTGGACACTTTAACCAGAACAAACAAAACTCACTAACTTGAACCTTGAAGCTCTGAACAGAATCTCCTACTTTGAGGATAAGCTGTAAAAGCTCTAAAATCTTATAAAACCTTCAAAAACTATGTTAAGGACTTTTCGGACGCAAACATCACCTCCTCCTTTTATTAAATGGTGTTGATATGTAAATTCAAATGGTAAGCTGTAGGGGAAAGTAGGATCTCATTATAGGACCACCAGGACCTCTACACTTTCTCCATGATAACAACAATTCAATCAACGTGTCGCCTTGCCATAAATCTGCTTTATGGACTGGTAGAGACCTGTCAATCAGCGTGTACCCCCGAATGTGAATGATTCATATTATAGACATGATAATTTATGTTGTCATATGAATAAAAAAAAAACACAGGATGGAGATCAGCACGTCTTTGTGCTAAGCTAGGCTGAACACAACCTGGATCTAACTGTTTGAGAGAACTAAAGGTTTAATCGAAGTGTATCATTAAATTTTATAAAGAATATTAATTTGGTATACTGACGTTGGAGACATAATGCAGGTTTTGTTGTTTTTTGTTCATCTTGAGGGAAACATGCAGTTCCTACATTTGAACTTAGTTGGGCACATTACCAATAAAATGCATATGAGTAAGTGCCTGCTAATGAGAACAGGTGTGGATGGGAAACAGACACTTTTTGACCGTGTCGCAGGTGTCAACGAGATGGCATCTTATGCTGTGTGGTGCCTGTAAACCAACAAATGTGATGTATTGCAAGGAGGTTTACATTGGTAATTGTATGTGGAGCACAGATTTAAATGTATAAAAGACACAAAGGCGCACTGGACAGTGAATTTTGTTTATTACATTACATGCGGGCAGTTTAACATTACTTGTAAACACATAACTACGCTCACATCTGTAACGCGCATGCGCAAGTTCTCAGACGCTCGCAGAGCTTCGACCAGATGCAGCACGAGGCGAAGTTTGTACGCAGCAGAGCGACATGAACGACTGATAGAACCACGACTACCGGCTCCAATGCTCTGTAAGTATGGGAGGGTTTGAATGAAGCACACCTGGAACTATAACCAGATGTTTTACTTGTGCTGCCCACTCGATGCAGAAAGATTGCTATTTTTTCAAGCTAGTTAGCGTACGTTAATATACCTGGAAATGTTACTCCAGAAGTCCAATAAGTTGCAGATGTTATCTTGTTAATAATGTAATGATTAAACAATATTTACTCAACAATATTAAGACTTAAAGATGCAGGGGAAAAAATCATTGCTGTAGCTACTTTGAAAACAGCTGATGATGACCAGGTTCTCAGAACCAGGGTTCTGTGGAGCACAGAAGGGTTCTGAGACGTCTATAAATGAGGGTTCTAACACCTGCTGCTGTTACCATCATTATTATTAGTCACTTTATTATTACTGTCATCATAAACCTAAATGACCAACTTTTCCCATAAGTCTTACTGGTTACATCGGATGGAGGTTACATCAGGTGGTGGTTACATCGCATGGTGGTTACATTGGATGGAGGTTACATCAGGTGGTGGTTTGCATTGGATGGAGGTTACATCATTACATCGCGTGGTGGTTACATTGGGTGGTGGTTACATCGGGTGGAGGTTACATCAGGTGGTGGTTACATCGCGTGGTGGTTACATTGGATGGAGGTTACATCATTACATCGCGTGGTGGTTACATTGGATGGAGGTTACATCAGGTGGTGGTTACATCGCGTGGTGGTTACATTGGATGGAGGTTACATCATTACATCGCATGGTGGTTACATTGGATGGAGGTTACATCAGGTGGTGGTTACATTGGGTGGTGGTTACATTGGATGGAGGTTACATCAGGTGGTGGTTACATTGGGTGGTGGTTACATTGGATGGAGGTTACATCGGGTGGTGGTTACATTGGATGGAGGTTACATCAGGTGGTGGTTACATTGGGAGGTGGTTACATTGGATGGAGGTTACATCGGGTGGTGGTTACATTGGGTGGAGGTTACATCGGGTGGAGGGATGTTACATTTTTACAGACTGTAAAGCTCCCTGAGGCTTATTTTGGATTTTGGGCTGAACAAAATAAAATGAATTGAATGAAGCCGTTTACAGTCGAGGGGTGTTCTGCATGTAGCGGTTGTACTCTTTCTTGCGTTGTGTTGTTAAAATCACCACCAGGACACAGACCACATTCGGCTCGTATCGGCCGTTTATTGTGTGACGTTAAGACACCTGGCGAACACACAGAAGTTAAGTCCTCAGAAGGAACCTCGTGGCATCATAACGGTTACACACCCTGCAGCAGACTAACTTTTTAGCTACAGGGTGTCGCACCCACGTCCGCAGGGACCCACTAGAGGGCACCCACGTGACACCCTGTCATGACTCTTAGCGATGGCAAGTGGAGTCAAACACCTGTTACATGCACATGTAGCTGATTTCAGGTATAAAATCCCAATTCAAGTCACTCAAAGCCAGATCTTGTTACAGAATCTAAAGAGGAAGCTACAAACACAGAATTCTAAAGTAACTTGTCCATATTTTTTTCTGCACTTTTAATTCCATTTTTTCCCCTGAAATATTATTTTTGTATTCTGTTTTTGTTTATCAAAGTGTTCTGTATAGTGTTATATTAATAAATACAAATGAATAAAACAATGTGTTTGTTTCTGGTTAGGGGTTGTTAACATGCCAATTGTGACTAAGATTGTAACTTGTAAGTTTCCATAGAGCGATTTATCCGTTGAAAAGACCTTTACGTTTAGACCCGTTTTCAACGTGGATTATAATATTGGTGGTAAACTAACAAAGTTTATTTGTAAATCTAAAATAAAAGATATATCACAAAGGAGAGGACATATCATTACCGTATTAAAAATTACGTTGAAATGTGGTCTAAACGTAGACGTCTTTTCAGCCAAAAGACGCTCGCTGGCTCCACAGATCATAACGAAGCGTCCAGTCAAACAGATTCACTCAATCGATATTATCGAAATCTATTTAAAAACCGGACGTTGCTGCCTTGCAGGGCGCATGCGCGCCGCGTTATCCCGTCGTCAAGGAGACTGTTTGTTTGTGACCCACGAGAAGCTTAAACAGTTGACAGAAGCTGAACCACGTGAGCCCCCGGGGACTGAGGGACAGGGACAGAGACAGAGACAGAGACAGAGGGACGGCAGCACGAGGTAAACTGTTTAACTGCGTCTGTTCGCAGCGGAGCCAACGAGCTGAACGCAAACAGTACTTTTACACTGCGGTAGTAAGTTAGTACTTTTACTCAAGTAAAGTATCAGTGTAATACCTGACGTGTGAGACCGGTACCAAACCAGATCAGAACTAACGTTAGATCACGCCTCGTCGGTCTGATATCCGATAAACCTCACGACCCACTCGGGACCCAGTCCGGACTGCTCTGGTTCTAGTCCGGTAATGGAACTCGTACTGATCTAATGGAATTGTTATGGTCTTTTTTATGATCTTGTCCGTTTCTGGTCTTGTGGTTTGATCAAAGGTGCCTTCAATATCTAATTTTGATCAAGTGATCAGCCTATCAACGTATTTATTCCGACACTTTAAGTGTAAACTTCCGAACCTTCACGTCATCATTAGATCATGGCGAGATCAGAGTGTGACGTCATCGACTTCTCAGCGCTGCAGAGGGAGCTGCAGGGGGCGCTCGAGTCCGAGCGGCGACATCAGAGAGAGAACGACGCCAGGCTGAGAGCCGTCAGTCAGAGAGGCTCCTCCTACAGCCACTTCCGGTAGCCACGCGCATGCATTATTACGGTTGTTTCTTTAAACATTAATGAGGTTTAATAGAGTATTTGAAGATGTACATTTGTAATGTGTCCTGGTGGCCCTGGGGTCTCTGAAGGTTCCAGGCTCATTGCTTGTGTCTGTGTGTGTCAGAGACCTGGTGCTCACATGCCACATGAAGCCTCTGGAGAAGAAGGACAAAGATGGAGCTCCACGCAAACAGCCCTGGAACCCGGTCGCCGGTCGGGCCAACGAGCCATGGGCTTAATTCTACCGTGATTGTAATAGAATGTCTTTCTGTCAAGATAAAGGAACAGATTCTTCATTAATATGCATTCATTTTCAATAATATACTTTAGAACTTAAATAATACAAACAAGGGGAAATAATGCTAGCTGCTGTCAGGGAGGAGCAAGTTTGGTCTGTAGTAACAGTCCACGTGTTGTTAACGGCACCATTATCCCAGAGCGTATCTCCTTTAATTATAAACTTTAATAAACATATATCAACAGACTCTGGTATGAAGTGTGAGTCTCAGCAGTAAGTCTGATGATGAAGTTTTTCTCTCTGTAAAACAGGAAGTGCTTTATACCGAGCAGGTTGACACGCAGAGGAGTGAACACAGGCAGGAATCTCACTCCGACCTCATTCATGGAGACTAAAGCCTCTCACTGTCCTGCTGGTCGACTGAAATGTCCTGGGCTCCATCCAGAGGTTCCTGGATCATTTTGGGACGTACAGGGTCCCCTAACAGGCCGATGAGATACACAAAAGCGCTCCCATGTTATAATATTGAAATTATGTGATATTTAAAGCATCATGCCCACACAATCATCCAGGAATCCTTGTATGGCAATTGCATACCACAAAGCATCCTTGAAACCTTTGGAACATGGTTGTCTTCAAGGACCCAGTGCTCATTTAAGGACCCTGAAACCTGCAGTAAAAATAATAAAATATAATAAAATGTCTAACTCATAAGAGGATCCAGGACTCAGCCCAGGACTTAGCAGAGGGACTCCATGATTGTCTTATTTATTTAAACTTCATTTGATATGGTCATCACAGTGGCATTAGAGTTGTGACATACAATAACTCAGAAGAATGCGCTGTGTTCAGTGTCACACTAACACAACACCTGTCCACAGGAGGCTTTTTAAAATTAAAATAAAAAACAGAACAAGAAGATACATCCACAAATACACACATAGATACATCCACACAGTACAAGTGTATTTCCGGGATTGCTAGGTGTGAGAACAATGTTGCTTCTCATTTAACCACGATTTAAAGCCTCTATTAGAAACATTGAAATTGTGTTGCATTTTCAATTCTGTTCTGGATAGTTCCATAGAGTGATTGTCCAAATAAGGTTGTGTCTCTACTGACGTGCTGGTGTCATTGAGCGATGAAGGAGCACGACCATGTAGGCATTTAAAAATGTGCTTTAAGCTCAAATTGCTTATAAAGCTTTCAAAGCTGAATATTACATTTTTGCAGGATGTGACACCTGTGCAAACCTCAATGTTTGTCATTTTCAATGTCTGGTTATACAGTGATATGATGGGTTGTATAGTTGTTTGTGAGGATCGTTCCCAAGTAGTGATGCAGTATGATAGGTGTAGAATACCATCACATGCATGTCGAGCTGGGCTGTGTTGAACACCAGATACCTTCTGAAGAATCGGAAGCAATCAAGATTTGATTACAATTTTTTGTGATATTACGCACTTGTTTATCAAAACTTAGATGGGAGTTTTAGAAGATTCCTAAGTAACTATCATCGGGATACATTTGACAGCCGACAACTGACAACTTTTTGTTAGGTTGTTGATATACATATCAAGCTGAATGTGCTTGTTGTTTATTCTCAGTTCCTTTATTAGCTGATATGTGTGGTTGTTGGACCCTAAGTGTTATTAGCACCAAACTACCTACTAGAAAGAGTTTCAGCATTGAAGAGGAGTGACACCTCTCTTGCAAGAGAGACGATCTTTGGATAAAGTTCATTGCCAAGCAGAAAAAAAGTTGAGTTGTAGGTTGTGAGGAGGACAGAGAGACAGACAAAAGAGAGACAGGCAGAGAGACAGACAAGCTAAAGAAAGAGAAGACCGATAGAGAGAGAGATATCAGCGGCTCCATTTGTTATTCCCTCTTGAACAGATTCTATTTTAAGTTTTTCTGGTGAGTTTTTAAAGTTTTGTAATTTCTCCTCTGATTAGATTTGAAAACGGAAGATGATTGTTCTTATTGTATTCAGATAATTTACTTCACTAAAAGAAAATTGAATTGATGTATTGTAAAGTGAAATATAAGTTAAACATGAACATACATTTCACTGTTAAAAGAATATAAATGATATTTCATGAACTGCTTTGAATCTGTGAGGCTGTCGACATGTCCCTGATGTTATGAAGCACAATTACAATCTGTATGTACATTCAGCAGTGTTGTATTATTACGTATTATGTGTGAAACAGAAGTGAGTACAAAGAGAAGCATATAAAAGGGAAAGAAGAACCTCATATGAATAAAACTAAGCATAGACATTAGTTACAAAACTATATATAAAACTACATCCTGTCTCTAAATCAGCGATGAAGGATCAGAACGTCAAAGAGGAGGTGATGAAGATTATGGAGGAAGCTCCAAATGCCAGAAGAGCTCTACTGGAAAACCACGACAACCTGCTGAGTGTAGCCGACTACTGCCACAGCAACTACCTTCAGGTGAGTACTACTACTACTGCTACTACTACGACGCCAACGATAACCTGCTGAGTGTAGCCGACTACTGCCACAGCAACTACCTTCAGTACTACTACTACTGCTACTACTATGACGCCAACGATAACCTGCTGAGTGTAGCCGACTACTGCCACAGCAACTACCTTCAGTACTACTACTACTACTACTGCTACTACTACGACACCAACGATAACCTGCTGAGTGTAGCCGACTACTGCCACAGCAACTACCTTCAGTACTACTACTACTACTACTATTAGTACTACCCAACACTACTAATACTAGTACCACTATTACGACTCCAACAACAACCTTCTGAGTGTAGCCAACTATACTTATACTACTAATACTAGTACAACACAGTGTCACAACCTGGCTCAAGGGCCATGACAAACAAGGGAACGAGGCAGCATAGCGGATCAAAAAGGGATTTATTTTACAAAGGAATCAGCTAAAACATGTACTTGGTAGCGGATAACTTAAATAAAACAAGCAGGGTAATCAAGCCATAGTTGACTTCTGCCTTGCGGTGAAGAGCTAGCCGTGTAGTCCCATCAGGTGGGGTTTATCACCCTTGGCTCACCACTCCCAGGTGCCCCAGATCTGCAATCAACTAAAGACAAAGATGTTACTACCAGAGAGGTATCACTCCCGCAGAGTGGCGTGAATGAACCACACGGAGGCCGTCACAACAGTTTCACCGTTTCTGTCCTTTGTGCTAAGCTAAGCTAACTCCCAGTCAGGTGCCTGCTGCATGAAGGCGTTGGAGGAGACTAAGAACTTTACCACCCAATCACTGGCCAGCGTGGCATACCAGATCAACTCTTTGGCCAATAGCATGCTGAGTCTGCTGGAGGCTCAGACCAATCAGCTGCGTCACTTGGAGTCCTCCATCAACCTCATTGGTCAGGTGAGACCCGCCCCCTGAAATCTTGGTGTCACTGTTGTTTGGATGTTTGGAAGTGTGATGGGCGACAACAGCGGTCAGGTGCATTGTGGGAAGTGTAGTTCCAGGAGGTGTAGTCCCAGTGTTGTTGGACTGAAGGGATATCCTAAATCTGCTTTCTGGTAGAGGGTCTTAAAGGGACCACTGAATGTGGATCTGTGTCACCATGACAACCGTGTTAAACAGTGTGTCTCTGTGTGTATGTGCATCTGTGTGTCTGTCTCTTGGTGTGTATGAGTGTGTGTGTGTGTGTGTGTGTGTGTGTGTGTCTGTTTGTGAATGGATGAATGGAGCCTCTGTTCTTTGTGTTCATTACAGAGATTTCAAGTAAAGTCCTTCTGTGGTTTACTTTTAATTGGTTTTAACTACATATTTAATGAATAATATCTTATTTAATGTGCTTTATCTTTAATGTTTTGTTTTGATCTTCAAACTCCGACATTGCAAGTCAAATTTATAATACAAAATAATAAAATGTATAAACTACTTAAAGGTTCTTCTCCACTAACGGGCTCTTCTCCACTAATGAGTTCTTCTCCACTAACTGGTTCTTCTCTACTAACGGGTTCTTCTCCAATTACGGGTTC